CCTAGGCAATGACCCCCAATGCTTAGGCCTGCAGCCACCTATGGTAAAAAGATTCACCAAAGTGTGGTATTATGACTTTTTCTTGCAGTTGCATGCTTAGGATAATGAAAGCTAATGATCCCAAACTTTAAATTAGTGCTATTACATTACAAGGCATGAGAATAAAGGATCATTTCCCCCTATAAAGGAATGGAGTTATCTGCATCTATGCCTCTTATGACGTCACGTTTAGCCACACCCACCGACAGGAAGTAAATTGAAAGGAAGCAAAAAGTGCATTTTTGAAGGCTCATATCTCAGTGAATAAATTTTTTTAGACAATAGGAGTTGGAACACATCATTATTATGGTCAGGCAATCATATTAAGACCATAAAATAAATACCCTAAAAAATCACTGCAGTTACACTTTAAGTATTACCCTGACTACAATAACTGTCAAACCATGAAAAATTAATTTGCAAATGAAGATTTTTATTCCACAAAATGTTAAATTAATGTTCTTTTCATTTCTGCTACAGGTAATGTCTAGTTCTCTTATTCCACTGGACCAGTATGACAGTCACACACGACTACCTCAAGAAATAGAGTTTGGCAGATACTCGATAGAAACTTGGTACTCTTCTCCTTACCCTCAAGAATACGCTACTCTACAAAAACTCTTCATTTGCGAGTTCTGTCTCCAATACGTTAAGTCCCGTACTTTACTTAAACGTCATCGGGCAAAGTGTCTTTGGTTTCATCCTCCGGCAAACGAGATTTATCGAAAAGGCGATATATCGATTTTCGAAGTCGACGGTCAAGTGGGTAAGATTTATTGCCAGAATTTGTGTCTACTGGCAAAGCTTTTCCTTGATCACAAGACACTGTATTATGACGTTGAGCCTTTTCTGTTTTACGTTTTGACGAAAAACGACTCGAAAGGCTGCCATTTTGTCGGTTACTTCTCAAAAGAGAAGTCCTGTCAGCAGAAGTACAACGTCTCCTGTATTATGACGATGCCTCAGTATCAACGGCAAGGATTTGGAAGGTTTCTTATTGATTTTAGTTACCTTCTCTCTCGGGTCGAGAA